GCCCCCCCAGCCATTATGAGCTTCTCCAGCTCATAATGGCTGCCCGCCTCTCTTTTTTTACTAAAGAAGTAAGAGGCTGAGGTTTGACGACAACTATGGAAGGATTCCGAGGGTTTTTTTTACTCTTGCATTCATTCATGAAGCCTTGGTACTACACAGGGGTCTGCAATGGGGAGCACTTTTGTGGGGACAAACTTCGTTGTTGGTAACTGCACGCTGTGAAATATGCGATGCTACCAATATTAAGACGACTCGTGGATCTTCTCCGAGGACAATCCTGGCATGCAGCAGAGCCCAAGTACTTAAGATGAACATTCCCCATATGCAACTAGCTCCCTTCCCCAATATGAAGGCGTCGTGAACTCAGTGGCTCAAGCGCCAACAGAAGAGGGAGAGGAGGCATCATAGTCTGAGTTGCAACGCGCCTTTCTGCGACATGTGCAAGGTAGCCCCACAGACTGCAACAAAAAGCCGTATTCTCTGTATGCAAAAGCGCTGTAGACAATCGTTGAGAACTTTTGCACCCTTGCTGTTCACCTACTGAGGCCGAGAAATGGTTGATGCGTCCACTTCAGCCAGGTTTGCCAGCATCGCACACGGTATGCTACCTCTAGGATGTTCAAGTTGTCTTGTGACAACTGGGGGAAGAGCTCGGACAAGTGAACCCTTCTCCAGCTCGCTTAGCAAGTGTCACTATGGATAATCTAATGCAGAGATAGTGGAAACAAGTCTAGCAGGCTGGTGTCGCGAAGCTGGTTAGAAGCACGGCCAGTGTCTGCTCAGGGGACGAGCCCCGCCGAGTCCAGGGCGATGAGGACACTAGTTGCCCACCTACCAGGACAGGCCGAGTGATGAACTGGACAAGAAAATTAGAGCCAGATGCAAGTGAATTATAAGGAGGTTAAACGCCTGTGAAGAGTCGTGCATCTGCTAGAACAAACACGGCGCTCACACCACCGCCGGCGCCTCCTCCCACAGACCTGTGCATCGAGCGCTTAAGGCTCCTGCGTGTGAAATACGTTAGTGTCTGGAGGCACTGCACTGCGATTAAAAATAACTCTCATTAGGAACGAGGGTATAATTTTCATTATAGGGGGCTATATCCAGGTGCATTGTAGCTCTGGTCCGTCACTGCGCTATTGTGGCAAGTTGTCCTCCTCAGGGCCGTCTCCAAGCTCTACCGCACTCCTGAAGTAGTCGGTTTGAACTTCCTGCGAATACTTGTTATAGTTTGTGTTTGGCCTTGTTTTTTGCCCCCTGTCAATACGGTGGTTTGATCAAATTATTCCAAGCAACTAGGGCGTCTACGCTAGCAACTGCAGTACGGTCGTGGCTGTTGCGACTGAAAGTCGGTGGGCTGGTCTTGCATTTACATTCCACACAAGAATCCGCACTTATTTGGAGATAAATTGTCTCTCCAAATTAAAAGAGGGGGTAAGCGATAACAACCGTTGTACTGTTGTTACTGATTCCATCGATAATAGTGCGCCCATCCCGAGTACTGGAAGAGCCAGCTAGTGTATTCCTGCCATGCTAGGGCAACTCAATACACTTGTTCCACTTTATGAGGCGCATGCTTTTAATTTCTGAGGTTTGCTTGGACAACGTCGAGGAAGCACACCATCGCGGTACTTGCAAGCGACGGCGTCTCTGAGATGCTGTGATCTCCCATCCCTGCAGTTGCGATTGTTTACCCCCCGCATGCTAGATGCCCTTGAGTTTCCAAAGATATCGAAGATGCGCGTTTTCCCCTACCTTAGCCCAATGCAAAGTTTGGGCGTACTGGCTCTCCTTTTGAATGATGCTGCTTCCAGCATATCAGCTTTGCGCAGCTGGGGGGATATGGACACAGATTCTATGGCTACTACCGGTGCCTCTGAAGGCCCCTGGACTATAGATTCCGTACAGGACACCGACACCAGCAAGGCAACGTTTTCTGAGCTGGCATTGACAAACATGCGTTCCCTGTTGGAGGGCTCCCACGGTTCCAGCCTTGCTGCCACAAGCCATCTTGTTTCTGCAGAAGACTACTTGGCAAGTGAACCAGATAATGCCAACGCGGCAGCTGCACAGTCTTTGCAGCTGAAGAATGAAACGGGACGAAGAGGGCCTACCTTTGGCCGTATCGTTGCGGTCATTTTGTCTGTTGCATGCTTGGGGCTGCTCGCGGCTCGCCCCCGACTGGCATCTGACATTTTAGGGGAGAAGTTATTCGGTAGAGAAAAGGATGAGCAGCAGGGGAAGAAAATGCAACAACATAAGAAAGAGGACCAGACTCAAGAGGATCAGCGGAGTCAGGAGGAGCACCAGCGAAGTGCGCAACAACCGATAGATGAGAGAGGGGTCGGACAAATGTTGCTGCTGGACAAGTTGGAGGACCTGCAGCGGTTACGCCCACTTGCTAAATTTCTGGCCGATACTTTAGGGGAGGAGGATAAACATGCACTTGCTGCTGTTCAAGACGCTCATGAGTGTTTCGAAAGGGCTAAGCAGGTGCAGCGGAAGGTCCTGACGGGTTCGTCGGAACATTGGGGGTACCCCGAGGATGTACTGCAACATGCTCTCGCCAGCGGTGTCTCCGCTGTTTCTCGGCTGTGTGAAGCAGCACGGCAACAGGGACTGAGGACGGCTCAGCAAATGTGCAATGTGCAGCGTCCTGCTGCCTTTTCTATTCTGGAGCTCGATACACTGGCAACAGTGGACCAAAGCCTCACAGATTCCCTTGTATACCTTATGGGGAATATTACATTTGCATACCAAGCTTCCACTACTTATGCTTCAAAGGCCCGGCGGGAGCTGAAGTATCTCCCGGCATTGACAGGCGTGGAAAGTGGGGGTTTGCTGGCTGCGGTTGCAACAGATGCCGCCCTTCTCAAGGGAGCGCTTGAAGCTGCAGAGGCAGGGAGACGGTCTACATTTGATTTGAAAGCTGGTGTGACGGCATTTATGTTGTCTCATTTCGTGCGGGAGCAGGTATGCCAGTACAGGGAATGTCGAGACCTTCTGGAGGGACAGAGACTCCTTTGCAGCGTGGAGAGGCAGCGGCAGCAGTCTCTTGCCGAAAAAGATACCACTGTCCTAGAGACACTCGACAAGCTAGAGGGGGAGCTGGACAGAGGAGATCAGCTGCTGAAGAGATACTATGAAGAAATCGAAAATCTACTGGAGACAACGGACATCGAGTCTGCTGTCTTTGCGAGCAAGCCAGCAAAAGGTGTGGGAGGGGAGCTAATGTCGTTGGTGGAAGCTGTTTCGTCTCACTTAAGTTCGATTGTCGGAACAGCGGAGGAAGCAAATGCAGTTCAGGATGCAGATGTGCATCACGTGATGGAGAGGGTGGCTTCAAGAGCGACTCAAGAGGCCGCAGTTGCCGCCACAAGGACGCAAGACATCCTAAAGGAGGTGCTCTCTTGGGGAGTTCCCGAGGAGGCCCGGATGGAGACTCAGCTGACTCACGACAACAGAGACTCTATGAAGCATAGGTTTTCGAACCCTTGTATTTTAGAGGAGCTGCATAGGGAACTGCAGCTAGTTACACAGAAGGCATATATGGCCCGTGACAAGGCTCTCGCTGCAGCGGCAAAGATACAGCAGGAGAGAGACGGCGGATTGAAGCGTATGATGCAATTAGTTGAAGATGCAAGGGATGCTGCTATGCATGCTGAATCTTGTTTGGGGCATGCGGAGATGTTGCGGCTTTTCTGGCAGCTTTCAGAGTCTCTGGAAGACGACGTGAAGCAAAGCGCCAATCTGGCACGAAGAGCAGCAGCAGCGGCAGAGCTTAGCCACCAACAGCAAATGTGGGACTCCGAAGTGAGCAGTAAAAGAATGCAAATTGAAGCTGTGATAAAGCAAGTGAATGCCTTACAGGATGCGGCGAGGGCAAAATCGGACATAAAGAGCTTAGCAGGAACAACAGCTGCACTGAAGGGAGCAGTCATACAGCTTGTTACATTGATTCAGGACGACCAGCAAAACAGAACTGAAGAGCTACTTATCTGACATTCGACAAGCTAGACGAGGAGCTGCAGAAAGAAGAACAGAAGCTGAAGAGATAGTACGAGTAGATAGAGCACCTACTGGAGACAACGAAAGTCGAGTGTGCGCACTTTGCGAGCAAGCCAGCAAAAGGTGTGGGAGGGGAGCTGGTGTCGTTGGTGGAAGCTGTTTCGTCTCCAGTTGGATTGCCGGAACAGCGGAGGAAGCAAATGCAGTTCAGGATGCAGATGTGCATCACGTGATGGAGAGGGTGGCTTCAAGAGCGACTCAAGAGGCCGCAGTTGCCGCCACAAGGACGCAAGACATCCTAAAGGAGGTGCTCTCTTGGGGAGTTCCCGAGGAGGCCCGGATGGAGACTCAGCTGACTCACGACAACAGAGACTCTATGAAGCATAGGTTTTCGAACCCTTGTATTTTAGAGGAGCTGCATAGGGAACTGCAGCTAGTTACACAGAAGGCATATATGGCCCGTGACAAGGCTCTCGCTGCAGCGGCAAAGACACAGCAGGAGAGAGGCGGCGGGTCGAAAACCAAAGGGCTACTTGCCCGACAAGGCACCAGACTGAATATTGTTGCCGGCGAGGCAAAGTCAGTCTGTAGTATGCGTTGCCCTTTCGGCATTCCCCTTTTCTCTCCCAGCCGAGGCAGATTTGGTGGCGTGGAGAGACCGACAAGGATGTTGCAGAAAGGGGCCAAGAAAGAGGGCGAAATGCATGCGCCTCAATTTCATGGCCGTTGTCGAGCTCAACGCCCCTCTGTTTTAAAGGGACAGTAGCGCGAATCGCATCTAGTTTTACGGATCGTGCGGCTGGCCTGTAGTCACGTTCTTGCTGCAGCGGCAAAGATAAAACACAACGAAGGCGGCGGCTTTAACCATGTGGAGCTGCCACCGATACCGCAGCAGGACTGCTGGCCCCAAAAGAGAGCACCAGCAGTGGCAGGGCGTACCAGCCAGCAGCGGCAGAGTTTTGCTACCAACAGCAAACAAATCTGGGACTCCGAAATGAGCAGTAAAAGAAGGCAAATTGAAGCTGTGCTGAAGCAAGTGAATGTCATACATATATAGTCCGGCGATGTCGCAGTCGGACATTAAGGGCCTCGCAGCGACAGCAGCAGCACTGAAGGGAACCTCCATACAACTTGCGGTATTGGCTCAGGAAGACAAGCAAAACAAGACGGAAGAGCTACTTATCTTAACAAGGCACCAGACTGAGCATTGTAATCGTCGAGACAGAGTCAATATGCAATGTACGTCTTCATTTTGGCGTTCCATGTTTCTCGCGCAGCCGATGCATATTTTATGGCTTGAAGAGACTACCAAGGGCAGATGCAGCGAAAGGCGAAGCGAGAGAAAAAGAGGCGAAACGGGGTCAGGAGGAGGTCTGCGCACATAAGCTGCGCCCAGAAGTGCAGCAATAAGCGCACTCCCACGAATGTAGAGAAGAGAGCAACATTTTTTCTGCTCCGTATCTGCCCTTGTTATTAGCCACGCCGTAGTGGGGAGCATTCAAGGCCTGCTCGGTGCGTTTTTTTAGCGGGGGTACAGTACGGGAGGAACTCTCGGCGGTACCCATTTAAGTGAGCGTTCAGCAATATGCACTGAGTGACACGTCCCATATTTTGTTCAATATGCTTCAGTGTAGAGTGTTTGCTTAGCAGACATTTCTGTTAGGCAGACGCTCCACGTTAGGAACGGCTGACTTCGGTGTCGTTGGAGACACTGTTCTAGCGATCGGCCTTTTCACCTTATTCACAGTGCGCAGAAGCAAAGTCGTGGGTGAGTTTTGTGTGATTACATGAATACACAGGCACGCATTTGTATATGTGTGCCTGAATACTTGGGCATGAACTATACTGATGGCCCTTTGGTGAGCGTTCAGCCACTACAGAAAGGGTTGCACAAGTGCCACAAACGCATTTTGCAAAATGAGTTTCGTGCGTTCGTGACCACAATGTCGCAACCACCAATATCACAAACTTGTCCTAGCTTTAACATACTAGTTTCCCTCATTGAGGAGGGAGGTACCATGGTTCGATAGTTATTTCGTGTGCGTTGTAGGGGCTGAAACATCCATGAATCTGGCACAAAGTGTGTACGCTGCAGCAAAATATGTTATGCACAAGTTACGTTTCCTGGAAATTGGCATGAACCCTTCACGGAGTGCGGAACGCACGAATGTTGGTTGCTGATGGTGACGGTTTTGCAGTGTCTGAAAATTACGTGGAAGGCGTGGTAACATGTAGTGTTTAACTGAGTAACACTATTCCAGCCTGGAAGTTGTGTTTATGTTGTGCCATTCCTGGCACGCATTACAACAAAAGCCAGAAATGGCCTGTGAAGATAAGCAAGATTTCAGCAACAGTTACCCCCCGTAGGATGTGGCTTTTCCCTGCAAAGAGGCGGTTGCACCTCGTCAATACCGGGAAAATTCGAAAATCAATCTGATTTCTGAAGCAAGAAGAATATGTTTTTGGAGAGAATAATATGTTTTTGGCGAGTATAACACTCCCGTGGAAGTCAACTTGAGGGTCTGGAGGATTACGTGACGGGTTACGGAGCCACTCACATCCAATATTTATCGTAGTTCACCTGGATAGTAAACACACCTGAGGGTACTGTCGATGCTTTTGCTAAGAGCAGGCCATCTTCTCTTGATAGCCAAAAACAGTGTATGGAACGTTTTCGAACGCAGCAACTTCACAGGGGACAACTACCGATGTTCATCAATACTGAACTTCCTTCAGCTGTAATATCCGGGGGTGTACTATCCCTGCAAAATGGAATAGCAGCGACAATTTGAATAGCTGTAAACCTACTGCTTTAGTTTGCGAGTAGTGTTGTCTGTCTGCGAACGAGCCTGTGACCAGCTTAGTTTGGTGGGATTCGATCAACGAAAGGAGCGAAAGACGAATGTTCTCTGGTCCGGCGAATTCCTGAATCAGTGCTCTTTCTGTCTCCAGCGTTCCCCATGAATATCAATTGAGACCCCATTTCATTACCACCTTGCGGGTGGGGGATCATTTTCAGCTTGCATTAATGACAATTCTTACTCCAATCCGTGTAAGAGACCGACATAAAGGCCTGCCAGACTCGTGCAATTACTTGGAAATCGAAGTTTGCATCAAGTGAATGTATTGTAGAAGCCCAGAAGCGTCGCTCATTATGACTGGGAGGATCATTATGTGGGCCTTGCAGATGCCGCCAAGCTAATCATGCTACTCGGGTACGCACGGTTAACAGGGGAATGCAACAACTTCAAATCAATCGTAGGCGCCTGGCAGGGATAAAGGTCTCAGTCCTAGAAGCTTACTAAAAGGCTACATGCGCAACTTGCTCGGTTAGGGGGGGACATCGTACGGCTGCTTGAGGCTGCTAGGTTCAATGGCGATGCTGGGAGAGAATGGATTTTCAGGTGACAAATGGTTGGTTGGTGCGAAAGGATGTCTACCTGAAGTATCCAACCGCACCTACTGCAAGTAAGCAAACTACAATTAGGATAATTGAAATTGAAGCAAGTGCAATTTCTGCGTCCCATGTTCTTTCAGAGAATGCAATTCATGGGGCGTGCCTTCGCCTTTGCCGACCATCCAGGCATGACTGTCGCTGCGGTGAGGGAGCTGTTAAGTTTCTTGCGTCTCCAAAACGTGCTTTCCACTTCAACAAGCACCATAAAAACTGCACTTGTTTACATTTGGAAGGGTAGATGCGGCGATGATGGTTATACATCTAAGCCAGGATACTACGTCATTGAAGCACACAATGACATGGAAGCGGCCAACCAGCGTTGAGATGTGCGTTTATTTCTTTGTCAAGATAATTGTCTATGGTGGAGTTGAGGAGGTATAACAACGAGAAACTACAGGTAGATCGCCACAAATACAAGTATCAGACACTGTTGAATTCGTCAAACGGTGGACTCAGATCTCCCGTCAATTGTTCATAGCAGCGCAATTCCCCGGAGGAACGCAATCCGTGACAGGCTGGTCCGATTAGAGATGCTAAAAAAAGGAATGGTGAGCATGCCGAAATTACGGAATAGTTAATCCTCGACTAGAGGTAAAACATCACATCTACTGACTTAAGGGAGAACGCAAGAGTCGGTTAGGAGACGATCCCGATACTAGCCTATGAATGTTGGAATTGTGAATGCGGGCTCCATGAGGAGAAGGGAAGGTGGACACTGACAGCCAACGGGGACTTCCGCACTTGGAAGGCCAAGACGAGGTATGGAGGGGCGCACCTTTTTAGACAGACAAGGGAGCACGATTCAGGATTACAAACGTGTGGAGAACGCTAGGGACTTGGCAGTGAAAGGTGTTGAGAAGCGCCAGTAGGCGAACAAAAAAGCTGAATGGGGAAAGGCTGGGGTCCACACCCAACTCAGCGATATCAAGTCCCTCAAAAGATCTTGGTGGGAAGGTCTCCATTGTTCTAGATTGACGAACTACTTATATGCATCGGGTAGCGTGCTTATGTTCAGCCGGGACATGCAGGAGCACTCACAGAAGCTACAACGTGATTGGCAGCTGCTCCTTGAGGAGCAGTTTTTCTTAAGAGCACGGAAGTATTTCTTTTGATGCACACAATTGGCTTCTTAGGGTTTCGTTCACTGGCAACGGGGATTGAACCAGATCCAGCGACTATCATCGGGGCACCTCGGAGGAGGCTGCACTCTTTGCTCGCTTGCACGATTTTTCAAAAGATATTTAGTCTCACACCGTACGACGCCTATTCTGTCCCTGGATTCGCTGTGTAGAACAGTGCGTATCATGCTGGCAAGCGGGTCTGAAGTGGGCGGATGAACAAGGTCCTGTCCCTAATAGACGTACCCTTAGCAAGCAAAAGCTGTCAACAACTACGCTGTTAGTACGGTTTTAGTGCTCACGGCCGAAAATGCTTCTCTGTTCTTGTATGCTGGGATGTCCTGTAACTTGGCGTAGAAAAGTTCGTTGCAGGTAAATTGGCACCCATTCCCTCTGCTCCAGGCAGTTGTGATGGTGAGCCCAGGAAACGTTAAGACTGAGGAGGGAGGCGAGCTGCATTAAAAGAACTCATATGTAAAGTATTTCGATTCTACTGTTGCTCGCGACAGTCCTTCCGTAAGGTCGAGAACACTGGTTATCCTGTTGCGTGCCTACCTTCCTCCAAGCAGCAGCGGAAAAGCGAACGCTTTCTGAAACGACGTTATGGAACATTTATTTGATTTTTTAAATTTGGCGATTTTATTCGAGAAGACGGGAGGCAACAGGAGCACGTTACGCTGCGTCTATGTCTGCCATTGACCCACAAGGGTCTGCATTGTCGTGCCTGGCTCTATTTGGTGAAAAGCTTGCCGGTAACGACTTTAAATTGTCTTACGTAAATTGTATTTTACATTGCATTTGCCGCCCGGCGCAGTTCAGCAGAGGTGTGCGTGGAGAAAAACGTCGGTAGGCGCAACGATGGAGGCATCGGGGATCTCGCCTCAACGCACGTCATGGATACACTGCAATATCAGCCACAGGGGAGCCCACAACACCAGACAAAAAGGCGTAAGAACAGTTGTTTATGTTGACTTTTAAATGCATGAAGAACACTTTGGAGGGTTGAACTCAGCAACTTCGGAGTTTCCCCTCCTCCAGTTTTCCTGCAGCCTCCACACAGGCTTATCGGTGCTCTCCTGCTCTCCGGCGCCTTACAGACACATACAGTTTGGTTCTTTTGGCTCCGCATGCCGTCCCCTCCTAATTAAATTGATTTTTTTGTTTTTTTTATTTATTTGCACTCCGATAACACTGTTTCCCTGCACACACAGTGGCCCTGTTTGTCTGTCCCTGGTGCGGCTTCCGAGGTTCAAGAGAGTCGCCCCACTGAGAACCTCTTTCGCGCTTGTGTATGCCTCCTTAGGCGTCTACAAAGTTCTCATGCGTCTCTTGTGGCTGTTGCGAGCCGCTGAAGGGCCCCAGCATGCGTCTTTTGAGCGTTTCAGCGTTCTTCAGTGTAGTGTCGCTGTTAATTAAGGATGTCAATGCTAGCACATCCCCTTCGCTCAACTGGGGAGTCCAGGAGAAACAATCTATGGATCCTACGGATCCCCATGGTAGCCCCTGGGTCATCGAGTCTTTGGTTGATACCCAAAACGACACGGCGGTGGTCGTTGATCCTGCAGTAACAGACACCCACTCCCTGTTGGCGGGATCTGCCGACACCAGCCTAACCGTTTCAGGCCCGCTTCTCTATGCAGATGAATTTTCCTCAGAAACCGTAGAGGGCGGCATCAAAGGGGCAGTCGCACCGTCCCCGCCTCAACACCAGACCAGAGGGAGCCACAAGATGCCGCTCTCAACATTCTTCGTCACTGTAGTTTTATTTTTTGGTGCATGTTTGAGGCTTTTCGCACCCCAGCCCGTGAAGGGGTCGGGGATTTTGAATATCGAGGAAGGACATAGTCTTCAGGAGCAGCCAGGCGAGACATGGGAGCAGTTTGATCAGCAGCCAGAGCAGAAGTCAGGGGAGGAGGAGCAGCAACGAGAGGAAGACGACGAGCCCACTGAGAGAGATATGCTGCTACCGCAACTGGATGTGCTGCAGCAGATACAGCCAGTGGCCTTTGCAGTTGCAAGTCGCGTGGGGAAAGACGATATTTTCGATGCCCTTCAAGAAACTTGCGACAATATACGGATTGCTAGGGAAGCACAGCAAGAATATGCCGCTGGCAACATAGGGGCCCCTGGCTCTTTTGAGAATATACTGAGGGAAACTATTGAGAACGGAGTCACGGTGCTGTCTGGCCTGTACGAGGATGCGCGACATCACGGGCTGCGTATGGCGCGAGAAACCAGGGCGTTGAAATCTGCCCCTATAATTTGCCAAAAAGAGGTGGAAATTTTGCATCAGGAGAATAGCGTTGTCATGTCTGCGATTATGTCTCACATGGGTATCCTAAATGCTTATCATAATATTTGTCAGCGGAAAACGAGTTATGTACAGCGGGATATGCATGGGCTGCCGCCCTTCACAAGACTGGAAGACCGCCATCTGTTGGGTGCTGTGGCTGCAAATCTGTTGTTTATGGAGGCGCTGCAAAACGCTGTCGAATCAGGCGCAAGTTCGGTGACAGATTTAGGGATGGCAATCACTGCTGTGGCGATGCTGCACGTCAAGCGCGAGCAGACTTGCATGTATAGAGAATACAGGGACATTGTCGAGGGGCAGCATGCTCTATGGAAAGCAGCGAAGCAGCAGCACCTACATTCTTCTACTCCAGCAGACCCTGCTGCACTGCAGGCCCTGGATGAGCTGGAGGAGAAACTCCAGCTGGCACAACAGCTGCTCTCCAGATACCATGATGCGGTGAATATTCTGAATGAATGCGCCGCCATCGGCCCAGCACAAGCTGCCAGTCAACAGGCGCAACAAGTGGGACAGGAGCTGAAAGCCCTGCTAGACGTTGTGACCTCTCTCATGGGATCCGTTTCCAGCCCCAAAACGACAGAAGCGGTTGCAGACCACACAGAAGATTTGCAGAAAGTCATGGAAAATATGGCATCAAGAGCCATTCAGGACGCAGCAGCAGCAACAAGGAATATTATTGACCTTCACAAAAGGATGGAAAGCAATAAGGGCCCCCACGAGTCTGTGGAGGAGGCAGAGCAACACCAGGAAAAGCAGGAGCAGGCGCAGCAGCAGCAGACAGGGTCTGCCGAAGAAGCTCTAGAGAACGTTCCGATTCGCCACGATCTGAAAGCGGCGTTTCACCGTATAGAGAGGAAGGCCAAGGTTGCATTCAACCAGGCCTTCAGTGCGTCAGTCTCGCAGAAAGAGAGCAGCAGCAACGGAGCAGAAACATCTTCAATGAACCGCGTCTTGACTGCACGGAAAGCCGCTACCGAGGCTGAGAACCTCTTGGGGGAAGCTGAGATGCTGTGGCTGCAGTGGAAGCTGATAAAAGCTATCGGGGAAGACGTCGAGGTGAGTACCAGCATTGCGCTGAGAGCAACAGAAGCCCTCCAGCAGCAGCAGCAGGAGCTTCCGCATATGCGTCGTGGAAAAATACAAAGTATCGCCAAGAGAAACAAAATGGCTGACACTTTGGTGAAACAGCTGAACGATTTCACGGCTTCGATAGGGTCCCATTCAACTTTGGAGGACTTGGCAGCAGCAGCAGCAGCAGTGAAAGGGACAGCAATCGCCCTCTTCTCCGTTGTTCAAGAAAACCAACACGATGTAATTCACAGCATTCTTATCTAAACAGCACGACACGAGGAGCACGAGGCACACCAAGCCGTGAGAAGATGAACAAATCACAAAAAGACACAAAAAGACACCAGACAACACAGGGGCTTCACCCGTAAGGCGAAGGCTACCTACGCTGCTGCAGCGGGGCGTTCCGGCTGCCTCCAGCTGTATCTTCAGCTTAGGACAGCCTCATCGAGTTTGAGTTAGTGTACACGGATCGCCAGACAGAAATGGGAGAGAAGCCGACAAGAGAAGAGAGAAAGGGAGATAAGTAACAGGAGAGAAGAAACAGGAGCAGCGTCGGCGACGAAGCAGCTGACTTCTCTCTGCGGTGCAGGTCTTCAGTAGAAGACACTCTGCGGTGCAGGTCTTCAGTAGAAGGGGAAGATAAGGGTTTAGGAGGGCGGCTGCACATATCCGCTTCTTATGCATATTTATTACTTTAAGGATGTGTTGTTATCGCTGATCATTAGAAGGGGCCCCTTTACGAGCTCACCTTATGTCTCAGGTGGGAGGCAGCCTGTTGCTGCGGCCTAAGTGCCGCTCTGCGTGCGTTTGTAAGACCCTCCCGCTGTCCTTACACTCCAAAGGAGATGCAGCTGTTTTTCCCCTATGTATTACCTTGGAGTCGCACAGAGGACGAATGGATGGCGGAATAGGAGTAGAGCCTGTGCACTGTAGGGGTTTCCTCCTTTGCTCCCAGCCAAACGGAGGTATGGTCGGGATACACCGACTTGTACATTAGACTATGTATACATATGTGTATATGTGTGTGTACATATGGGTAGGGGCGACAGTCAGCCTGTGCTGAGATTGTTTAGGCCACTTGGGCGCCAGCAGCAGCGCCAGCGGCAGCGGCAGATGCTGATGCTGCAGTCAGAATGAATTTGCCTTGGCGGAGGAGTGGTGATGCCGCCCTTCCATTCGTTTGTTTGTTAGTCCCCAGTGCCATGCTTTGTTTGTGTCGCCTTGGGGTTTGTTTGGCTTTGCTCTTTGTTGGCAACTTTCACTAAGGAGGAGGAAACAGCGGGAGTACTCTGCTGCTGCAGAAACCGATTTCTAGCAGCAGAATGGCGGCAGGTACATATATATCCCTTGGCAGTGACAGGGGACCGAGCAGCCCGCAATTTATAATTATGATTCATTGATGCTCCTGGGACATCGCCACACCCTGTGCTTCACGGAGCAGCAGCAGCAGCAGCTGCTGCCACTGCAGCAACAACCAGGTGCAGTTAATGGGAGTAGCGGACGCAGGGGCTCCATCGTTAGACCCACTACCCGCGATGTAACCATGGTTGCCGACGAATACGCTGCCTTTGCTTGTAGGGTGGGAGGCAGCTCGCCTCAAATATGCGTGTTTGCTGCCGCAGCAGCAGCTGCTGCTGCCTATGCACTTGCTGTAGGGTGCCGGTACTGTGCTCACTGTCTGCTACAATGTGTTGCCGCTGTGGTGCGCAACCCCAACAGAAGCCGCAGCAGGAGGCCTTCCTTGGGCTGAATCCTGAGGTTCAGCAGGAGCAGACAATTTGGGGGCGCGAAAGTCCGCTGCAGCAGCACCCGTAGCCGCATACGATTGTTTGATATCGTGGCTGCTGCAGCAACAGCGCATATTTGCAGCAGCAGCTAGTGCGCGGAGGCCCAATAGCAGCTCAGGAGAGCGTCACCTGCTGTTGCTTGCTCTCGTGCTGCAGGTTATTGCAGGAGAGAGCATAAAGTGTGCATGCTCTCTTTTGTATGCTGCTACTTACACTATTAGGCTAAACCTACACAGCAGCCAACAGACACTGCTGTTCCCCATCTCGTTTTGTGCCCCTTGGATGGGGGTCGCAGTGGTGTGAGACTCTCTTGTTCGTAGCACAGCTGTTTGCCGGCGTTGCTGCCGTTGCTGTTGCTGTGGGGTAACAACCTCGAGTTGCTGCTCCTGCGATTGCCCTGGCTTGGCTGGCTGCTGCTGCTGCAGCAAAAGTTTGCAATACAGGCTTACTAAGAACTCCGCAGCAAGTGAAGAGGAAACTGCTGCCGTGGGGTGTTATACACCCCAAGGTTTTGCGCCAACCGAAGATGTTTATTTTGACAACAGACGCATGCACACGTATATATGCATGTTCATTGTATTTCTTATTTATATCCACGCATAGATATGTAATGCATGCACGGGGAAAAGGTCAGAAAACTGCGAAAAGATACGTTAGAACACACCGTAATACCCAAAAGCTCAAATTGTAGGAAATGAAGCTCTAAAGGCGCGCCACACGAACCCATACGCCTCCCGCTGGTGACCCCTGAATGTGGAATGGCGATTATTATGCTGCAGTGTCATCTAATATATATACGGGGCAAATATAGAAGAAGAAATGCAAGCAAAATAGCCCTTAGGAAGGCTCTTCTAAACCCCGCAGCGGTCGAGAACACAAGCCTCCTAAACCCCAATAAACCTCCGTAGACCCTCTAAACCCAAAGCGCTAAACCACAAATCCTAAACCCCAATAGTCACAGATCAAAGAGAGTCTCCCCTCCCCTTACCCAATAATTCTGCGGTGGAGGGCATCAGCGAACTGATAGTCACACAAGTGCACCTTCCGTTGCAGTTTCTCCCTTCCGATGTCCTACTTGAAACAGCAACTGCACATATACCTCAAGCTAACCGCAGCGGCAGCAAAAGCTGTAGGGAAGGAGTGTGGCAGATTGCCACTGTAGGGCACACGACTATTGTAGCAACAGCAGCAGAAACTGAACATGCAACAGCAGCAGTGGAGCAACGCAGCAGCTGCTGCAGTCAACGACCCCCGCAACAACAAGTGCAGCACGATGCTGCAAATATGCTGTTGTGTAGCAAGGCAATTGTTGCCACTTCTATGTACTAACCGAAGGAACCTCTACTGTCTCTGGAGGCCCTTCGATGGCAGGCCATCAGCAAAGCTGCAAGAAGAGGCTGATGCTTTTTATTACCTTCATAGCTTCCCATGTTTAACAAAACATTTAAGTACATTTTCGAGTAGTTGTTTCTATCTCGTGACGGGGCAGGAGCGGCAGCTGCAGGCCCTGCTGCTGCCGCTCCTGCTGCTGCTGCTGTTTCTGCTCCAGTGAAGACCCTGCTGTCTTCTGCTTCCCTTCATACATGCCATCCTTCTATTTTCCGTTCATTTCTTTTCGAGTTTATCTCTTCGTTGTAAACTATCGTCTGCAGTCCAAATCTCCGGCAAGGTCGTGCATGCGTTTGCTGCTCCTCCTGGGGCTGCTGCCGTTTTTGCTGCTGCTGCTCCTGCTGCAAGTGGCCACGCTGACAGCCGGCTGCCTCCCAGCGACGTACTGGCTGCAGCAGGAGCAGCAGCCTAAGAGCTTCTGCTACAACAGTCGCAGCCTGTACACCCTCCCGGACCGTGCAGCACTTGCAGCAGCAGAAGCAGCAAAGACGAGAGCACTTGCTGCAGCATTATTCTTTATAGCTCTCACTAGCAGCAGGAACAGCAGCGACGCTGCAAGCAGCAGCAACAACAGCATTGGCAGCAGCAGCAGGCGCAGCACTACGAGGTAGCAACAACAGCAGTGTACCCAACATCAGCAGCAGCAGCAGCCGCAGCAATGGCAGCGACTACGGACGTGTTGCGCTGGCGGCTGCGGGGCTCTTCTACGAGCACAACGCCTGTTGGTTTGGCTCTTCCCGTGTCGTGCGGGGAGCTGCGTGTACACCTGAAGGAGCAGATGGGTGTTGCTGCACTAACAGCCATTGATTTGCTGCTGTCTCTTGAGGGAGCTGCGGATGACGTGCTGCCTGACAGCATGCTGTTGCACCAGCCTCTGTGCGTTCTTGTGCAGCGGAAGCCTGCTGCTGCTGCTGCTGCTGCATTGAGCGAGGCGGAGCTCAAGTACCAGCGGCAAATGCAGGAACAGCAGCAAAGGCAGGAGCAGCAACAGCAGCAACAGCAACAGCAGCAGCCACCAAACTCGCAGCTGCAGCGGATAACAACAGCGAGCCGAGCAGCCGCTGCAGCTGCCGTTGCAGCAGACGGCGTTGGGCCGGCTGTTGCTGTTTCTTCCGCGGCAGCTGCTGGCAGCAGCGACAGCAGCACTGGTCTTGTAAGCGATGACTACACCCAGGGAGCAGCAGCAGCAGCAACAGAGGAAGAGCGGCTGCTTTTGCAGGCAGTTATGGATGTTCATGACTCTCGCAAGGGCTTCCTACGTGCAGACAGCACCAGCAGCAGCAGCAGCAGGAGGGGGCCTGGAAGCCACAACCTGATGTGGGTAAGGAATCAAGATGAAGGCAGCAACGGCAACAGCAGCAGCAGCACAAATTATTATCGCGGTTATCCTGGAGGCAATGCTGCGGCTGCTGCTGCTGCTCGCCAGCAGCAGCATGTATCATACTACCAGCAGCAGCAGCAGCAGCACTATGCAGCAGCATCAACAGCAGTTTCTGCTGATTACATCTGCCATATGTGTGGGGAGATGGGCCATCATATCAAGAATTGCCCAAAGTCTTCCGATGCAAAACAGCAAAAAAAGATCAGACCCGCAACAGGTATAACGCAGCAGCAGCAGCAGCAGCAGCATTGCAGTGCTCCTGCTGCTGCAGCGGGGGCGGTGGTGGTTAGATGCTGAGCTGGTTGAGAGGTTCAGTCAAAGCTTTGTTGCTCATGTTGCTGCAGCTGCAGCTGCCTATTGTGCTGCTGCTGCGGTTTGTGCTGCTGGTGCTGCAGGATTGCCATCGTCGTTTTTGCGAGACATTTTGCCTTCTGAAATACACAAGTACCAGGAAGTGTACATAAAAAAGGGTAAGCAGCTGTGCAGCAGCAGCTGCAGAATAAGCTATGTACTAGCTGTATTTTCAGTGCACAACGAGAGCCTGTCAAGCTAGCGATCGGCTGACGTAGCTAGGTAGCTGTGGTGTGCGTGTGGCTAGCAGCCTCTTTAGCCTGCTTAGGTGGTTGCTAGTTGGCTGTTACACGTGGCTACTCAGACAGCTACCTACCCGGCTATTTAGCTAGTTGGCTGTCGCACGTCATTAGCTAGCCAGCCATCTAGGTAGCAAGCGAGCTATTTGGCTACAGTGTGTAATCGTGGCCAGTATAGAGGGGTTGCTGGTGCGTGTGTGGGGTGTTGGAGTGTACAGACGGCAGTTTTGCGGTGTTGAAGACAGCAGCGATAGGGGGGTTGTCTCTGTTGGGATCGTCTTTAGATTCTCGTATCCAGCGACATGTGGGGGGAGCGGCACATCTTAAGTGCGGCTGCTGCAACTCCATCTTTAAGGCACCCACACTGACACCGTGCTGTGGGGAGACCTTCTGCAGAGCATGCATTGTGCTGTATTTGCAGCAGCATCCTGCTGCTCCTAGTGCTGCTGCTGCTGCTGGAAGCAGCAGCGCAACAGCAGGTGGACTGGCGGGACACTGCCCGGGGTGTAATGCTGCTATTGCTGCAGCAGACTTAGCTGCTAACACGGTGCTGCAGCAGAGTGTTGACACTGTTACCTGCAGCAATACCACTCGCTGGACTTGGCAGCAGCAGCAGCAGCAACAAGACGCAGCAGCAGCTGGTCCTGCTGCTGCAGCGAGTGTAGTTAAGAACGAAAATCCTCAGCCGGGATCAATTGCTGATCTGCTATCTAGGAGATCCGTCTCCTCGGAAACAGGTGAAGACTCAAAAGCAGCAGCTGCGACATCAGCAGCAGCAATGGCAGCAACGGCAGAAACAGCAGCAGCAGAAAGTGCAGCTGCAAATGGTGAGCCTACGTCCCTTTTTAAGGTGAAGGAGGAACAAACAGATGCCTCACTAACACCAGCTGCATCCGCTGCAGCAAAAGCAGCTGCGACACGGACACAACCCGCGTCTTTGCTACAAGCGAAGAAAGAAGAACCGGACCCAGTACCCAGGACGCCAGCAGCAGCAGCAACAGCAACAGCAGAAACAGCAACAACAACGGCATCACAAAGCGAAGAAGAGGCACTTCCGGATATAAGTGATTTGCTGCATTTCAATATTCCAGTGGAGCAAATCATGGAGTAGGTGCTGCTACCTTTGCTGCTGCTGCTGCTGTTCTGCTGCTGTAGCTGCTGCTGTAGCTGCTACAGTAGCTGCTGCTGTTTTGTTGTTGCAGCTGTCCCTTTCTGTGCTGCTGTGTGCGTGTGGTGTATAGGCAGCACCGCATAGCAGAAATACAAATCAAAGCCTACAGAGAGAAACGAAAGGCAGCTGTGGCTTTGGAGACAGCCTCCTGATGCAGTGGAAGCAGCAGCTTCAGCAGCAGCAACTGCGGCAGGAGTCGCGTACAGTCATATGCTGCTTATCTACGCTTTTTTTCCTTTCCTCTTTGGGTTAGGGTGAAGACTGCAACGAATGCAGGAGAAGCAGCAGCAGCAGCAGGAGCTGCAGCGGCTGCTGTCGCTCTTGCTGCTCGAGCAGGAGCCGGTGTTCGCAGACAGCAGCAGCAGCTGCTGCAAATGAAGCAGCGGCAGTTGCTGTTTCGTTTACAGCTGTGGCTCATCTTCTCTGTGATTTGAATGAACCATAGGATGGCTTCAAATCTTTTTTTGAGTCCCCTGCGGAGTCAGGGAGGGGCACCTGGCTAGCTACCTAGCTAGCTAGCCAGCTGGCTGCAGGAGAGGCTCCCAGCTAGCTAGTTGGCTAGCTAACTAGCTGCAGGAGAGACTCCTAGCTACCTAGCAGGCTCGCTAGACTTGCTGGTTGCCTTAATTCGGGTTATTCTGCTGTCAGGATCTGCGGTGCTCACATAGGCAGCTGCACCTGCTGCAGTAGCAGCAGCAGCTGCTGCTGCAGTAATAGGGGCAGCAATCCTGTGTGCTGTGCATACACCGCAGACACAGCGGAGTCTTCTTTTTTAGCAACTCTGTACAACGATTCTTTAATTTGCTTCAACTCCTAGGGGACGGGCCGCTGCTGCTGTTGGAGTTGTTATTGTTGTTGCTGCTCCTGGTGTTGCTGCTGTTGGTGTCGAGCCACCGCAGCGGAGGCTCCTGTTGCTGGTGCTTTATGTCTTTGTTAGTATTTTGTTGGTTAGGAGCGGCGAAGAAGGCTGCAGTTTGCTACAGCTGCAGCGTTGCTTGCTGCTGCTGTGAGCGTTGCTGCTGTAGCTGCGTTAGGTGTTGTTCCTGGGCCAGCTGCTGCTGCTGGGTTAGCTGCTCCTGCTGCAGCGCTTGTTGCTGCTGATCGTGTGGGGTTTTGTGGCTCCTTGATCTCCCAGCAAAGACATCAGCAGAAACAGCGAACAGCCTAGCGAGGTGCAGCAGGAAGCAGCAGCAGAGACAACAAACAAGCCCCAAAAGCACCAGTCGCTGCTGCGTCCCTGAACGCATGCAGTGGCAGCAGGAAAAGGAAACGCGGCTACAGAGCCATAACTCGGTACTGATGCTGCTGCAGAAGGGGCGTCGGCGGTCGCTGCAGCAACAGCAGCTACTGCAGGGGCAGCAGCTACTGCTCCAGCATCAGGTACTGCAGCACTGACAGCTGCATCAACAAACTTGCTGCTGCAACAGCTGCTGCAACGGAGGTCATGGTAAAAACTCGCAGCAGATGCTATTGCAGCAACACCTCCCACCGCCAGAAAAAACGGCAGGCACAAATGCAGCAACACAGCTAGAAGTAGATAGAAACAGCAACAAAAGCCAAAGCACCAGCACTAGTACCAGCGCCTCCAGCAGCAGCAACAGTAACAGCAGCAACAGCAGCAGCCTCACCAGTGCTGAAGTTCCACGCTGATTGAACGACAGCGGCGGGGTTTTTGAGGGCTTCAACTAAAAGGGAAGGGTCTCTCCAAACCCTCAATACGAGGGGTTTGCAGACCTGCCACGTCTGTGCATGCGTTGCAGCAGCAAGCTGCAGCAGCAAAGCCCCGCGCAAGATTGCTGCCATCCAGGTGAGCAGCAGACCCGCAAGCTGCTGCTCCCCTGTGCGCCCGAGTAGCAACGTAATCACACACGAAAAAATGCTGTGCTGCAGCAGCTGCGGCTGCAGCAGCAACAACAACTCCTGCCGCGGTAACACTGCTGTCTCGGGTTTGCTTTGCAACTCGAAGCCATTCTTCCCCCAATGAAACAGGGAAGAGACCAGGGTGTGCAGAGAGAGAGATACCCCTGCAGCAATAGAAGCAGCAGCAGCAGCAGCAGCAGCAGCACCTGGGTCAGTAACAACAAGAACAGAATCTCGTCAGCCACAACAACAGCACAAGAATCTCAGAAGCAGCATCAGCATGAAAAGCAGCAGCAGTAGTAACAGCAGAAGCAGCATGGCAGCAGTATCAGCACATCTCAACACTGCCAGCACCACGACGAGCAGCAACAGCAGCAACACTGCATCGACTGCAGCAGCAGCAGCTTCCTTAGCAGCAGCTCTAGCAACAGCAGCAACAGGAGTAGGAGTATCTGTTTGCGTACCTGTGAAATTGTTGGCTGTGTATAAGACAGTTGTATCGGGCATAACAACACCACTAAAGGAGAGGGAATCGACCAGCAAGAAGATCCCCGTAAGCAGCAAAGGAGAGAGAGAAGGAATTAAAGGACCTGATCTTGCTAACAACTTAGGCAATCTTCTGCTGCTTAATGGCTCCTCTAAATGAATAAATACTATACATGAACCACCAAGTATCAATACCAATGATACAGCCTCACGAAGAGGGGGAGCCCAGTACACCAATGTTGCCCCTGCAGCAGCAGCAGCAGCAGCAGCGACAGCAAAACAGCAGTAATTACTAACAGCAGCAGGAACTGCACCATCAACAAGCTTGGCAACTGAATACGCAGACTCATTCCTAGCAGTAGCATTAGCCGGCTTAGTATCAGCAACAGTAGCAGCCTTGGCAGCAGCAACGACAGCCATATCCATAGCAGCAGCAGCAACGGCAGCAGCAGGGTTAGCCCTTGAAGTGGTCTATTGTTATTTTTATTGCTTTAATAGTCACAATTGATTTGTGTCTTTTCTAGATACTTTTTTCGTTTATAGATCGTACATGAGCAAAGAGCAAAAATACAGCTGGAGAGAAGAATGGCCATTCTCCTTAAGTTGGCGACTCTGCTGTTTTTCTTATAAGTTGACCTCCTTGATGATGCATGCAGCCTATGGCAGCTAGGGGAGAAGCAGGGGGCCCCGGGGGCCCCTGTTGACAGCCGATAGAAAGCTAAGCTTGGTAGGGAAGGAGACACAGCAGATGATAACAGCAGAGAAGGAGGAGACACTACAGACACCCCACACTCATCCTGCTGCTCTGTAAGGGCCCCAAGGCTCGCCATCGACCTTGCAGCAATGCAGCGGGGGCCCTCCCTGCAGGGGGCCCCTCGGAGAACCCTTGCTGCCCAAGGTCACTTCTAGGGGCCCCCCAAGGTCACCTGAAACCCGGTCAGCCACACCTAGGGGGGCCCCAGAAGCAGCAGTAGCAGCAGCAACAGCAATTAACGCTGCGGCAAATGGTGAATGCCACAGATTACGTCTCAAGAAAACGCCGAACCTCCTCAGTCTTCAGGGGAGGCAGCGAAAAGGAGGAAGGAGGAGCTACTGCTACAGCAGCAGCAGCGGGTCCCGGTCTTCAATGAATTAACTTGAACCGCTAACCACAGCAGCAACACGAGCAGCAGCAGCACTAGCAAGCTGAAACTTGTTCCGTATTACACTATCAGGGGCTTTCATAGGATCCCCCTCGATGCTCCGGGGTCTGGCCTATAGAAGAAATATACCATAGACGCAAGAGGCCCCACCTCCTGTAGGCTGTACGCACACTCAAAATATTTTAATTGCTTTAAATAAGTTATTTTTGTAAGAAGATAAACTTTTGTACACGAAGAAGTTTTCTGTTGGCTGGTCGCGGAGGCCCCCTTAGGCTGCACAGCAGCAGCTGCAGCAGCCGCTGTGGCAGCAACAGCAGCCGCTGCAACAGCAGCTACTGGAGCGCACCTGGGGCCCTCGAGATTGCAGCAGCAGTTGATGTGTTGATTGATAAGTCTTAATTCCTTGGCCGCTGCTGCTGACCTGCAGCTGGGGGGTCCAGACACCTACGTGAGCTTGGATGGCTGCAGTGAGTAGAAGACACAGAAGATAGAAGCAAGTCTCCTCATTACACACGATATAAGAGGAAGTTGATGCTGCTGTCTCTAAGGAGACAATTCATTTCTAATGCATTTAAATAACAAATGATACACTCTCCTCCCCTTACGGTAAGCAGGCACAGAGGCACTAACAAAGGAAGCTGCTAATACCATTATATATAGATAACAACGCCCCAAGGCCTTTGATGCAATAACAGGGGATCGACTTCAACCTGGGATAGTCCCCCAATGTGGGATCGCCTCCCAGCCTGAGATCGTCTCCCAGCATGGGATCGTATCCCCCTGTGGGATCGAATACGATCTGTGATCCTCCCCTAATGCGATTGACTCCCAACATTGGGAAATCTACAGCAGTAAAAAGAAGGAGACAGAGCAAGCTAGCTAAGTGGTACAGCACTACTCGGCGGCGGGGACCCATTGCTGCTGCCGAATCTCGACAGCTAGCTAGTCCCCTTATATGTTGTCGAGCGGCAGAAGCCCTTTACCAAGCTAGCTAGCTAGCTAGCCATTTACTCGACCAGCTAGCTAGCTACTTGGCCAACTAGTTAGGTACACGGCCAGACAGCTACCCATCTTCCCAGCTCACTTGTTTGCCAGCTAGCTAGCTAGTTGATCAGCTAGCCAGCTTAACCTATTTGGACGGTCCCTCTCCTGAGGCGTCTCTACTTTGGGGTGTATATGCACCTATGGGTTTAATTTGCTACCCCATAAGCGCTAAGGAGAAGAGCAGATACACCGCAGCTTCATGAGAATAACAAACCTCCTCTGTGTGTGTACAGCTGTACGTAAATTGCAACTCAGCGGTACTGCAGCAGACGCCGCAGCAGCCGCTGCAGCAATTGCCAATTCTGTATCCACTTATACGGCCTATATACATATATATAGGCAAACAAATGCACGTACACAGGCGTACATCTGTAAGTACATGCATATATATGTACATCTGTTCCTACATCTATACATACATATCCATTTATACATACATATATGCAAATCTATATAACATATATATATATATATATATATATATAT